TTATTAAGTTGTATATCATTTTTAATTTATCTTCTTATAATAAACTAAATACTATTGTTTAAATAATATGCTTTATATAAGATTTGAACTTATAGCCTAAACATTTTATTTTTAATGCATTTAATTAAAAAATTAGTCTATTTAATTTATAACAAACATATCAAATACATTACTATGTATTTATATATAAAAGATAAAAATTATAAATAACCGTATAAATATATTTACCCTTTTTGTAAAAATAAGAGTAACCTTTATGTGTTCAAGTTTAACGGTGTTCGCCTTATACACTTGTTTGTCGCATCGTGCTTAATCGAATTATTATATAGTTGGTTTGTATGTGGCTGAACAAGTATAATAACGTAGGAGGTGTTTCTGTACGATTGTTCCTGAAAACCTATAGTAAACAAGTGTAGAATGGAGGTAGTATAAGGTGTAGGTATGAATATAAGCTTACCAATGGATTCCCCATCAGAATCTGGAACAACGAAGTCCCCAAGCTAAGTGGTATCTGATAAAGCTATTTTTGTTCCCTCGTACAATGAGCCAAGTGTTCCCCCTTTTATTGTACAGATATACCTTATACCCAAAGGTAAATTTGATCGAATGAGCACGAAAGGTTTATCTTCTTCCCGCAGAGAGTAACGGTATACAGAAGACATAATTGGCAAAGTTAAAGTATGAAAGAGATAAGGTGTAGAGTTATGATCTTGATGCAATAATGCTAATATGACTTCTACTCGGTTCAATGATTGGATGCCTAGTCTAATTTGCAGCATGGTTGCCTTTTTGGCATAGCTAAAAATAGCATAGTTGCCTTTTTGGCATAGCTAAAAATAATATGGTTGCCTGCTTGGCACAGCTAAAAACTGCCGTCGCCTTTTTGGCGTTTTAAAGTATAAGTACCACCCTTTTCTCCCGACTATTTCGTTTTCACCACCCCACCAAGGCATCGCATACCAAACCTACCGTCCACCAACCATCCTTTCGCCAACCGCTTTATCAACACACTTCGCCAAACCACCCTTCCACTTACCATACCACACCATTCTCACATCATCCACACCACAATGGCTACTACTGTACCCTCGACCCATTCCCCTGTTAAAGTCTGGACTACCGAACCTGTCCACCAAAATCTCGACCCGTTTTCTTCCGAACGTCTCATCTTTCGAGCTCTCCTCGACTCGGATTTTCCAGCATATCACACGATATTGAGCCAAGAAGAAACAATGACTAAAGTTGGTCTGGGCCCAATGCTCAAGTAGAAGCTAGCTCGATCCTGGTTCAACTAGACACAAGAAAGCTACACAAGAGTTGG